GTATCTTTGTCCATTGTATTAGTTTTTACTGCTGTGTAGAAATAGTTTGTCTGGTGGCTCAGATGGTGAAGAATCTGCCTGCAATGAGGGAGAACCAGGTTTGATCCCTGGGTTGGGAAGATCCCTTGGAGAAGGACATGGCAACCCACTCCAGTACTCTTGCCTGGAGAATTCCACAGACAGAAGAGCCTGACAGGCTACAGGCCAGGGGATAGAAAAGAGACAGACACAACTGAAGTGACTTAGTGCACGCACACACACACAGCTGCATAAAAAATTACCCCAAAGTTAGCAGCTCACAACACTTTACAGTGTTGTCACAGTTTCTGTTAAGAAATTTAGACACAGCTTAGCTGAGTTCTCTGCTTAAAGCCTCTCACAGACTGCAACCAAGGTGTTGGCTGAACTCTAGTCATCCCAAGGTCCAACTGGGGAAGGATCCACTTTTAAGCAGACATGATTGTTGGCAGGGTTCAGTTCCTGGCAGATTGTTATTCTGAGAGTCTGTTCTGTGCTGTCTATTGGTACTGGGCTTGCCTCAGATCCTTGGCCCAAGGGCCTTTCCAACATGGAAGCATGCAAGCAGAGAAGTCTAAGATAGAAGACCCCATTTTTTAGCCTAACCATCACTTTTGTTGTATCCTGTTGGTCGGAAGTAAGTCACTAAGTTTGGTCCACACCAAGCCCAGTCATAATGACACGAACACCAGGAAGCATGAATCCGTGGAGTCTGCTCTGTGCATCTGCGTTGAATCTGAGGTATTTATGGACCCTTCTGGGAATGTCAGTGTTTTCCTGCTCTTTTGCCTTGTGGAGCTGAGAGGTTCTGTTTTTCTGAGATTTTGGTCTCCATCTGCTGGTGGCACCTTCTCTTGCTTCCTGGCACTGGTCATTTCACCAAAATTTAGGGAAGAAAATAACTCAGCTGAGGCACAGAGAGAGGAAATAACTTCCAGTGGAGTTGGAAAGAATGTCGCCGCCATAGAGGGAGAACTCTTTTTATACCTAAGTGACAAATCCCTCAAAGCTTCTGATTGTTTCCAAGCTCTTTTTTGGAAAGGCACAGCATGTGGACTGCAAGAGTCTTGAGAATAAAGGCCTTTTTCAGTCAAATTCTGCCAATTATGAAAACTGCTCTGGACAGTGATATATAGATACCCTGTATTGTGGTATTACTCAGGATTTTCTTAGTTACTGGTAGTTGTACCTTATCTATTTAAGTAAGATTAAGTTATATAGACTTTAAACCTTAAAATGATTCAGAAAAAAGACATTATATAAAGCATTCTGAAGATTACCTTTTATGCCGTTTACAGTGTGAAGACCACTCCTAGGTATCTTTGCTTTCCAACATCTTTTCCTGAGCCTGCTCAAATTCCAGCTTTAGGATTGTAAAGTTCTGATCATCACTTAGCAAAGATCCATTCCCTATCAATATCCTACTTTAAATCTGGCAATGACAATTTGCAAACTTCTCAATCCAACACTAATTTCTGGTCTTCATTGTTTCTCCCTTAAGTGTTCTTCTGAAAACACCAAAAGGGAAGCTAATGCCACGTGGCCTTCTAGACACAGCCCCAGTGGCTCAGGGGTAGAGCCCACCCGCAATGCAAAGCAGGAGCCACAGGAGACACGGGTTCGACCCCTGGGTTGGGAAGACCCCCTGAAGGAGGGCACAGCAACCCACTCCCGTATTCTTGCCTGGAGAATCCCATGGACAGAGGAGCCCGGTGGGCTACAGTCCACAGGGTCGCCAAGAGTCAGACACGACTGAAGTGACTTAGCATGCATACGTATAGAAGCATTCCTCTTAATGTTTACCCCCAAACCACAAATTTACTAAAATTTATTGTTGCTGAACATCCCTTCACTAAGGCAGCTAATCAGGATTTAAACTGGTAGGAGTTACATGAACCTTCTTCCCTGAGAGCAGTTGTACTACCACAAACACATAAAAAAATGAAGTAGTTTCTTGTAGACATTATATAATATAGCATGGTTTCACAAACTTTTCTGTATTCACTTACTCTGTAATCTTATGAATGATGTGTCTATAATGAATGTCAAAGTTAAAAAACACACATTTTCTTCTGTTTCCTATAATCAGAATGTATTTGTAGTTTATTTTGGGAAAGCACGAGAGAGAGAGATACTCCTTTGAGTTCTAAGTCAGATTATTCTTTTTGAGGAGACGCTGCCACCCCAGTGTTAAATGATCAGCAGTTAGTAATATTCATAGATAACACCCTTTTTCATAGCAGGAAGAAACATTAAGAGAATACAATGTGTTTAATAGCTAAACCTGGTACTTTAACCAAAGTACTTGCAATATTCTTAATATAACTGAAGATCACTACTGTCAGGTATTGTTTTGCTTGTTCTCTACATCTATTCCTAAAAAGAATGTAGGCCTATATTAAGACAAAATCTGACATTCTTTCATTTTATATTGTATTTTACTCACTTTATTGTAAGATTATTCAGAAAACGTTTCAATAGTACCCTATCTTTACGTAACTCCATTAATATTACACTGGAATTAACTCATATAGAAAAAATATTTTTTCATGAATAGTAACAGATGTGTCAACAGCGTGATTTATTTTTAGTTAGGTAATGAAAAAAATACTGGGGTGTAGATTTTTTTAAACTGATAAAATGTGAAATTAACGAGATGGTCATTAAAAGATTTTTAAGCTTCGCTTTTTTATAAAAGTCGGCATTTAGAATTTCACAGTGAAGAGGCCCTAAGCTTCTCATACAGCGTGAAATTATACAAAAATAGAAGGCATAGACACCTTTAACTCTTTAATCCTTGGACTGAGCAGCAAGCATATCACTCTTCCAGGCCAAACACTGCTTAAACAGAAAGAAAAATAATGACGTGCAAAATATTTACAAAATATGCAAAGCACACAATAAAGACATCTCACTATATACAGGTGTCATATTACTGATGAAGCTAAGAATTTTCTACTGTGTGCTCTAGTGTACGGAAATAAAATCACAGCACAGCCCTCAGATACAGCACCTTTGCTCATGGTTGGGATAGAACGATTTTAAATGAACCACAACATACTCAACAGCTGCACAGATGCTGGTGCTGACCAACTTGACTCACATATCCCACACACCGTATACTGAAGGTCTACTGACAAGAGACAAGACAATAGAAGCTGTATAGTATGCACATATGCAAGACAATCTAAATACTTTTAAAAATGCTTTAGATATTTTCCTTTAAGATATATAACTGTCTCCATGGCTATTAAAGTAAAAATAAGTATAAATTCTTGAATATTAAGAATTTTAAATCAGGATGATCCAGTGAGAAAGAACACATTCTGAAAAAAGTTTTTAGATTATGCTAGAACTTAAGGTCCTTATAGAAATAAATGGTCTGAACTTCAAAAGGAAAACCAATTAAGGGATGTAAGTCAATAGCTCTTAAATGCTTTAGAGCCAAAGGTAGGGACTATTTTTCTAATATCTGGAGACTATGTTGACCATTTTGTGAAATAGCTCTAAATGCAAGAATGTGAATGTGCAAACATATATCTTTCGTTCCACTAGTACAGCAATCTAAGCAATCTGTCCCTTTGCACGGGCAGGTCATGATTCCAATATGAAATCACTGTATCAAAAATATTAGTAACACACTGCTGAAATACCATCACTTGTAAAATAGTCTTTGTAGGTGCTTAATGGTTATATGCTGAATTGAGAAGACTTGAGATATTTTTGTTTCTTTATAAAAAGGGTCTCAGCATTTTAACAGCACAGTTGTGACAATATACTGATATATCTTTGGATAACACAGAACAAATTCTTAAATTTATTTTATGAAATAATGATGATTTAACCCTAAACCAAACCCATGAGTACAGGTCAGCTGCAAAGAATACACAAATGTATCCAAATAGTACAAGAGAGATTGATCAAGAAAACATCTTTTATATTAAATGCAGACCATATTCATAAGTATGAGGGCAATTTAAAGTTCAGAACCTAAACACAAAAAAGGTATTGTAAATAAATGCTTCCATAACCACTATTTCCACATAACTGACAAAATATAATTCTCTCCTAAAGTCCCCAAATGGAGGCAACTACTAGTTAAAAGCAGATAGCATTTAGAAACATTAAAAAAAAAAAAAATTAACATTAACTCCATTTTCAAGGAACTTAAAGACACTGTACTTTAACAAATGAAGTCCTCATTGTATGTAAAATAATTATTCCCATCCTCTTACTACTGAAAGATGGCAAGTCAATGACCTTTAAGCAAGGACTTTGCACTAGGACCCTAAACTGTATGTTAAAGGGTTAGTAGGTTCAGTACATTCTTTATGATTTCATATAATTGCTTTGCAATTGATAAAATTGCCTTCTTTTAAAGGAATATATTTAAATTCCTTTAGAAAAAAAAGCAAGTCTTTGAAAAAAGGGATATGCAGCTATCATTTCTTAAATATGCATTAAATGAACATACATCAAAATCTGAAATGCAGGCTATCTATTCTTGCACTCCTAACATAGGAAAATGTTGTTAAAAATTAAATTAAAGAAAAAAGAGAAATAGTCGAACATCCTTAACTTATGAAACTTAAGGAGTTTTCATAATTCCTAAGTCAATATTCCTGTACTAAGAGCCTTGACTATGAAGAGGCAGGAATATATTCTCAATAAAATAAATACAGTAAAAACAGAACAAAAAACCTCGGTATATAGAATACTTAATCTCTTTTCCTTTAACGAGATCATGTCACTGAATGTATACTCTAGAAAGGAGGCTAACTGTAGGCCTTCTGTTGTATAACATTTTAGTTGCATGAACTAAAAAATTCCTTAGACATCCACTTATGAGAGCCCACTGGCCACAGAACTAGTCTGCAGACGCAGTGTCTAGAAGGATTCTTCTTCCCTCTTTTGCACCAACAGTCAGAGGGGCACTGGTGTAATGACGGGGTGAAGTTACTGCAGCTCTGTCCAAGTTAACTCTAGTGCAGTGAGGACTGTGAATCTGTCTGAATTCCGATAAGTGATGGTGGCTGTTGGCCACCAACTGCGGACAACACTGGTCTTGGATTGAGACGGGGTGGCATGGAATTAGCAGGGCGAATGAGAGGTGGCGGGGGCTGGTTTAAAGTTGGCCGGGGCTGGATGAACCGAGCCTGCTGCTGGAGTGGAGGAGGCTGCCGGTGAAGAGCCGGGGCAGCAGGCAGTGTTGGACGAAGAAGTGGGGGCGGCTGGTTCAGAGCGGCCACGGGGGCTGTTGGTGTTGGAGTGGATGACGGGGCAGGAGGTGACGGACCCAGAGTCCGAGGAGCCTGTGGGGTCTGTGCCTAGAGGTGAGGAAACAAAAATACACGTATGAGATGACAGTTCCTAATGGACGTAGTACAATATAGTTTGGGCTGTCACAGGAAAAACAAAACAAATCAAATCAAAACAAAAACATAACACCAGTGTTTTTTGGAAGCACAAGCTTCTTTTATTTTAAACAAAACAAACCAAAAAAAGCAACGAAGCTACCAAACAGGCATCTTTATTAGTAAACAGCTTAACACTGGAAATAAAAATAAATGTATGAAAGAACAATACACTCTCCACTCTTCCAGGATCAGCACTTAGCGTGTCATTATGACTTAAGTCACAGAGAGGCCCCACTGAGGAAGTGTATTGTCAACCTTTCATGCTCATTTAGCTAGTCCTCTGACAAATTAACCTTACAGAACACCACACTAAATGGTGGTTCCTCAGCTCATATTAGCTCAAATTCCATACACAAACACACCTCCTCTTCTTCATCAGTGCTCTTCCCTGATGGCACATTAGAAGCACTTTTTGTCTCCTCCCCTAAAGTAGAAGCATCACCATTAGAAGCCTGGGTTCCTTGTTCTGCTTCCCACTCCTGCAATACCTCCTCTAAGTTAAACCGACGCCTGTAGTTTACAAAGAAGTTCTTCACTTGGCCAACAGTCTTGTTGCCAATTACATCTGCAATAGCTTGAAAATCTTTACCATATTTGCGGACACCTGGAAGGCAAAGTAAATAATACACCTGTGAAGGATCAGTAAGGAGAGCTGTGTGTACTATACATCACGCACACACACAACATACCAGCAATGAAAACCCTTTCTGATAAACTGCTCACGTCTCAATTCTGAGATAGAGACTAAGATATATCAGGGTCACAGATGGAAACTATCAATTATGTAATTTCATCGAGCCAGCCACTTGCCTTCAACTGAACAATCAGAAACTTACCATTTTTTACATACTCAGTTATTTTCTCCAATCCTCTCTTGAACTCTCAAATACAGTCCATTTATTGTAAAGCATTGAATTCTTTGTTCCATCCTCAATTCCACATTCATTTATTTCCCTAGTAGCCAGTCACCTAAATTTGAGCAACATCGTTTGTAAACAAAACTGGATGGGAATGAGCCATCTCTTTTATCCCCTCAATGGACTGAGTGAGTAGTCTTAGGGTTCCCCCGTTAAGAAAAGCATTGTGATTTTGATCTTAACACCAACTTCTATACAGTTACTTGCCTACCCGTACTAGGTACTGATCAAAAAAAACGAGATAAGAAATTAAACATAAAAAACAGGAGAATCATCACAATCTGATGGACGAAAAAAAGAAAGCTATTTTTCAGTTTGTTGGATTTTAACTCATCTATTAGTTCTAAGGACTGTATATATGACAGATTCCTAGCTATGCTCTGTAGCCTAAAGAATTATAGTGGTGACTACTTGTAGATACTGTGCTTATCATTGCTACCTTAAATTTAAGAAGGATTGTACATTCAGTTATATAAAAGACCTAACTTATATAAAATTATGGAAGTTTCTTTAAATGTAGGATAATATTTGATTTATGAACTTGAGACAGTCAATTATGTTACAGAATTTAAAGTGACTTTACATAATCAAATGGTAATAATTTGCTCTTAGGGAGTTCTAAAAGAAATCCACCCTACTCATTCTAGAAAGAGATATACCTAGCTTAAAATATAAAAGCTGTCAAAATTTTTATTTTGTAATTTGATAACTGCTTTTTAAAATACCAGATAACAGTAACTCATTAATTAGAGATGAGAAAGGAGAAAAAAAATACTGATGTCTATGATACTCTAAGCAGCCAGAAATAGAGGGATTTAGATAAACTTAACATGTTACAATCACACATAAGAGCATAACATAAGGACACATTAATACCCTGGCAGAAATGCAAGACATATTCTTACTGATACCTATTTGGATGATATACCTATTATCTTAAAGATCCAGCATGAATATAATTCATGTTTTTAAATTCTGCACTTACTTTATATTGAAAACTTGGGAATAAGTATCTCTTGCTGCATTCAATTTGCTAGACTTGACTCTACGGGGAGTTTCTTCCTCTTAGAACATTCTGGGTAGGAGGCCTGACATATTAAACTATAACCCCATTGTTAATACTGAGTCCAGGATTTGTAAACTATGCTCATTCGCTCTGTTCTCAAAGACACGTGCGTGACAACAGGGTAATAATGATACTTAAAACTTTGTTTACAATATTTTATATTCATTTAAAACAAATGAATTTATATTCTCTTAAATCCATGAGCTGATTTTCAGTTTGAACTTCATAACTGAGTATAAATTCTAATGGTGACTAGGGTCCAGTGAGGGTTTATCTGACAATAAGAACCCAAGGTCACTTCATATTAAAAATTACTGCTACATATTCAAGTACTTCTCTACTATTTGTACTTTAGAAAACAGCAACTCAACTTGAGACAGTTGCACTGAGAAGCAAATACTAACTGGAAATCACACACAGTGTTCTACCAGTGTACTAATATTCATAACAGATTCAATTTACATTCTAGAAATGACCAAAGATACCGAACACATGAATTTAGAAATGAAAACTTAAATAAATCTAGGATTAGATCTTCTATATTCTTAACAAGAAGTCACATTAAGAGTGACTCTGACTCTAAGTCTGACAAAGTTACAGCCCTCCGAACACTCATTTGCTCAGCAAAATATACTCCAAGACACGCCACGAGGCTGCCCCCATGGCCTTCCCCTTTATTTTCCCTTGCTCAACGGACTTCACCGTGTCACGAATATTGTTGCATTTCCAGAATTACATGCCCCAAACCAAAACTACTTCCTACAGGAACTTTAGTTTACTCAGACACTTTGGATTTTCCTCAGCTCACCTAGGTTCTGAGTCACCTAGGTAAGTTTATTAACTCATGTATGTCTGTCTCATATCAACTACTTTGCAAAGTGTTAAGGTTCAGACTATACTGCAGACTTCTGCAGTCTGGCTAAGGATCTCAATCATGTCCTGAGAATAAATGGGCCTGGATATTAGTGCCCTTAATCTGCAGGATGCCTGGGTCGTATGTGGAAGAGCTAGAGCTCCCTGGCAGACTCCTCTGGACAGACAGCAGCCTCATCTGCCTGTCTCAGTGGGTCATGAAAAATCTCATCATTTTCTCTGTATGCCATGACGTGAACAAGGTTGGAATACAAATTACCACCAGCATTACTACAATGCTGAGTACAGAGGAAGTACTTAGGAAATACGATTGATTTTTTTTTCTCCATGGAGCTTCATTCTATTATTCTTCCCCAAGCTACAAGAGTCACACCTGGCTGACATCTTTATCATTTTTACATTCCCAGTGACGTCACTCAACAGCATATTTTGGTGAGAAGGTGGAATTCTTAAGCTCTGTATTGTGGCTGGTTAACTAGTCAAACTCTAGTGAAACATCAACTGAAGACTTAATGGACTGACTCCACCTTCAGATGAACCCCCATCTAGGCTTCCGGAAGTCAACCTAGCGAGGTAGCAGTGCTGAGCAACTACGTTAACAGTCTATGATCTCAGAGCTGCTTTAGTTACAACTTGCACTGGGGAGGAGGGTGGTCCATTCTCTTTTCCATTTATTAAAAACAAGGTCCTTCATATATATATATATATGTATATATATATATATACATATATATATATATATATACATATATATATGTATATATATATATATATATGTATATATATGAATTAGTGCTAAAACAACTTGGGAAGTTCTACTACAAAACTTTAAATTTCTCCATTTTCATCATTAAATATTACAGGTATGAGTAATTTTGCTATGCTTTAAAAAATGTTCAACTTGATAAAAATTCTAGGCAAAAGAAACACACAAAATGTGAAAGCTAATATTAATGACCTGAAAACCCTAATTTGTATGTTAACGATGGATCAACCTGTAGATTTCTTTTAAGTGACACTTAAAGTGATCACTTTTAAGTGACAATTCACTAAAGGTATCAAAAGTAAATAAGTCAAAATCATCTAAGCAGTCATTACGAATTAACAAGTAAATAGAGAATACTTTTCAAATGTCTAAAAAAAAAGGAAAAAAAGATTAAATCTCTCTCTCCTCCTTAAGATGTAAAAGGCTTAGGTCTATCTGAACCATTTTTTTAAACTAAACTTGTGACCTTTGGGCTTCCCAGGTAGCTCAGCTGGTAAAAAATCTGCCTGCAGTGTGGGAGACCTGGGTTTGATCCCTGGGTTGGGAGTATCCTCTGGAGAGGGAAACGGCTACCCACGCCAGTATTTTAGCCTGGAGAATGGACTGTACAGTCCATGGGGTGGCAAAGACGCAGACACGACTGAGTGACTTTCACTTTCACTTTTTAGGGCAAGAGGTCAGTTTTCAAAATTTAGTAGGGAAAAAAAAGTTGAGAGAACCCTGGAAGAGGGAAAGTAAGTATTTCCCAAGGAGACGAGAAAATTGTTTTCAGTCAAATTTCTAAATTTCCTTTGAAAGTTACAATGAAACAACATGGCTTCTACACTGCCAGATGATACTGTATAATCTTTATAATATAAACTTTTAAAGTTTTGTTTGGGAATTAACATAAAAATATAACTCATTGGGATACTGTGTTATCATGACATTTCCTTTTCCAACCAATGTTCTTCTATATTAACCAAGAAAAAAAAAAGTATATATTTAGAGCTTTGACTAGCAAGACAGTAACTTTAGGAGCATTTGAAATATGCTGTTTCCCAAGTCTGAATGTGGTATTTAGACTTTTTTTCCTTAGACAGAAAGGATGTCATAAATCTGCTTTCAGTGTGTTTAAAAGTTATTTTTATAATCTTTAGGACTACAAAAAAAAGTACCAATATTACAGTGACAAGCTATTTTTAGATAATGAAAATTTGGGGGATATTTTTCCCTGCTTCTTACAGTAAAATGTCTTAAAGTGAGCATGTACTTAGTATAATTAGGAAGTATTAATTTTTCAAAAATCTATTTTTTGAAATAACAGTTACATTTAGAAACTCCAGGGATGTGAGGTCTTTCTTATCAAGAAGAGATTAATTTTAAATTCAAACCATTCAACAACATGCATTTCTTTTCACCTCCTGTAAATCTCGTCAAGAATTCCTATTAAAAAAGATAAAAAATATATCAACAGCAGTGAGACAGTGACTGGTGCATCTGGGCAACAGCTAAAAGTCAAAATCATCCATTACTTTTTGAATCTTCCCACCTTCCTTGCTACAAGTTTAAACTCCATCACAAAATGCTGGGAATTGGGAATCATTAACTATCTGAAGCAAGTGCATCAGAAGGCTGACAATTACACTTCTGGGCCTCCATTCTTGTGATATCATCTATAACAGAAGAAACTCTAGTACAAACAGGTACCTTTTAGAGGAAAAATACAAATCTATCTCCACCTCCTTTTGATCATTCAAGTGCTAAGCATCATGTAAGGATCATTACAACCCTTAGGTCTTAATCAAAGGCTGAATCTCTCCTACCCCCTTAGCACTTTAGGGACCATTCTAGCTTTTTTTTTTTTAAAGTAGGAGACAAAATTAGAATGAAGACAATTTCTAAACTTGCAACTTCATTTCTCCTAAAAAGGGATGAATATATAAAATATAGGGAGAGAAGGTAACATTTAACCATAGGCATAACTCATTTGAACATAGTTACGTCATTTCCTGTTTCATATGAGAAAGCAGGAAATACAAGAAAAAAAAAACACTAAAAATTAAATTTGACTTCTTGATAAAATTAGAGAAAAAAAAATGTTATGCTGTTGATCCTAATATAGCACAATATTTTAGTTTGGCAACATTTTTTTTTAACCACTAATGACTATGAAATGAATATATTTAAGAGGAGACCTAAAATAAACATGCCAAATATTGTATACTATGCTTCTGCTTCTATATACTTTAAAGAGTAGATATTTTGTGCTATCATTGCTATTTTTTGAAAACAGCTAATAAATGTTTTATTTTACATGAAAAAAAAAATACAACCAGAATCAAATTCCTTTCTTAATTCTTGCTTAATAAGGAATGTTTATGGGGTCGCAAAGAGTCGGACACGACTGAGCGACTGAACTGAACTGATTATATGAATATCAAGATTCATCTTAGGATAATTTCTAAAAGTACCACAGATTAGGAAAAATATGGCACAACCTACAAACAGGGATATTTCCCTATTAAAACAAATATGTGAAGACTGTAATTGGTCTTACTGTTAACTAATTTGTTATAACAGAAAATTTAGATACTCAAAGCTGGAACAGATTACATAAAAACTGTAGAAATACTATTCTTGGTAAGTATTTTAAGGGGACTAAATTAAAGCAGCATTTATAATATCCCATTTGGGGATTCCTGAAGAATGTTACTGAAGTCATAACATAGCTAGGACTAAAATTAACATAATAAAGTGACAGATTACACAAGTAAAGGCAGACATTCCTATTTGGTCTAAGCGTGATTTTTCCCCTTCCAAATAAGGGAGAAAGAAGGGAAAACAGCTCATTTATTTAAATATTTACTGTTAAAATAACATTTATTTAAATATTTATTTACTATTTAAATGATTGGTACTTAGTTAACAACAACATGAGCAGATGGGAAGTAAAATGGAAAATAAAATTTAAGCTACAGGAAATGAACTTAATATACTTCTTCAATTACAACACAAAGTTTATTTAATAGTGGAGCTCACTAATGACACAAGAGGCAGCATTTCTCTCTCTAGGTCACTGTAATAGTCAAGTATGAGCAAGATAAAATAAAGCATTTAACAAATCAAAGTTAAATCAGAATCTGTATGTAAAATGTCTTGAATAAAAAGTTCTATATAAATTAAAACATGTTAATAACAAAACACTGAAGTGGCCATAGGAATAATATCATATAAAGGTTTATCATAAAGATTAAAAAGAAGAAGAAAAAACTAAAAACATTTGCCTGCTAAGGCAAGTACTTCTTGATTACAGATGTTAAAATAAGAACTGCAGTTATGTACCTTACCCACACCAAGACTCAGGTACAGGGGACATTACTACACGATGGTAAGACACACTTTTGAACATTATATAAACACATGGGCACATGAGGCAAAAATGGCACTTTTTAACTCTCCCTAAAGTAACTATGTCGGACATAAATACCTTTAAGTTGCTTTACTTTATGTAACAAAAACAAAACCAAACAAAAATCACAAGACAAAACCAAAAAACCTAAACTCAAAGTAAAAATTTTACAGTCAAAATAAATAAATAAAATACAGACATAAATATACTGAAAGTGCTTTCAAAATCTTAAGAACATGAATCTTTCCATACAAATCGCTGCATTAGTGTAATTTATTTAAAGATTACTTTTTAAATGAACATAACAATATAATAACACTGAATATCCTCAGGAGAGAGGATATGTTTGATTATTTCTAGAAATACTCCATTCTTTTAATATTTTTAAGTTGAAATAATGTCTGCATATATAGCTCAACTCTGTAGGTAAATCCTGCTATTGTCTTTCTCTTGAATGCAGCTTTTCATAATATCCAGTATCCAACCCAGTCATAAGATTTGATGGATCCTATACTTAAAGTAGTACTGTAGAACAGTATCAAATCTTTTCTCTGTACCTACAGAGAAAGATTAATCCAGACTTCCTAGGTGATTCTCTTCAGAAAAGGCTTTCACTGTGATCAATTCTCATATCAGAGTATAGGATTAGTATACTAACCTTTAAGAAAACAAATATTGGAAATGGGGCTCAATTCTGTAGGCCAGCACCATGAAGGAAGACAGGCTTTAACATCAGTCAAAGGAAAGCCTACTCAGAAACTATGTTAGAACTATAGATCATAATTCTAAATAAATATGAGACAGCTATAGAAAATACTTTTTAATAAAAACTTTAAGTTGTCCGCTGCAAAGAGCTATTATTGAACATTATAAGCTTTTGTTCTGACTCACTCACAAACTTGGTTCTACAATTACAGATGTGCTACATGCATGTCCAGCACTCCCTGTATGGAACCCAGTACTTCTGTTTATGAAATGACTGTGCTGTGCTATGCAGGCTGAAGGGAAGGCTGACATTATCCTACTGGCACCCTACTGTACATTTTCAAATCACATTGGGTATGTAATCCTTACTTTAATTCAAACTGCAAAGTCTTAATCAATCTTTAACTATATTATTCTCATATCTGAATGATACTTGCACATTTTTCGAGTTAAATATGTTCTCTATGTTTGAATACTCGGAACTGTTTTTAAAGATGTATGTTTCACTGGGGCCCAACTCTCTTATAGTAGTTAACTTAGATAAAAAAAGCTATGGATACTCAACACAGAGGGTTCAGCCAAGAAGAAACAAATTGTAGACCAAACTTAAACCACATTATCAGTCCTGTAGACAGTTTATCTTAAAAGGAAAACAAATCTACAATACTGAATTGCAACATACAATTTGCCCTTAAGTAATCAAACACAAGAAAATCCAAGTTTATAGTGCTTCCAATTTGCCCATGGGTATTCATAGTACAAAAAGTTTTCTGCCATACAATTCAACCAAGCATTCTTACAAATAATTGCATTTAAAACTGCACACGTATATATATCTATATATTAAGTCTTTCTTTTGTATAAATAGATATATTTAAAGTCAGGGTTTATAGCATTCAGTGGCACATCTCTTAAGTAAGTTAGGGTACACTGAAAGTTAAGCATATCATGAATATTTTCAGTACCTGACAATTATCAACTAGAGAGTAATCAGGGAAACCAGGAACACAGCAGTTTATGTTTGTGATAAAGAGTTACTGGCTGATACAGTAGAATGAACCCAGCTGCAGGAATACTGAGGCAGAGGCACCCAGAGACCAGCTGGCCCGTTCAAGCCTGCCATCACCACCGTTCATTTACTGCTGGGAGGGCATCACATGCGGTTCAGGACCCAAAAGGCACACAGACTCAGTGCATCACATCCACAAGTACCACGGGCACCAACACTGCACGGTAAACACAAGACCCCTTTCTCGATCCACTTCTAAAGGAAGGGGAGAACTATGGTAGTCACCTTTCATGACAAATTAAATAATCATTAACAACAATAACTGCTTATCTTTAATATACCTTGCACTGCTAGAAGCTGCTCCTCTGTGGTCCAACGGGCATTAATTTTCTGATTTGACTACAAAATTAAAGAGAAGTTTCCTAATGAGGATATGAAGACAGACATTTTTCCAAAGTGCTTATTTTTTAAAAACTTTTCACCAAATCATAGATAAGAGATTACTAAAACTCTGATTTATGAGGATTTCATTTTTATAAGACTTAAAAAATGTATTTTAAATTACCTTTTACCAACACAAAAAAATAATGAAAGGGAAATGTACCAATTTGGGAGAAAGAAAAACATTCGCACTTACACCCTAGTCAGAGATATCAAAACTGAGAAAATCTATTAATCACTCATTTTCCAACTACAATGTTCCTATCATACACTGCACATGTTAATTTTAGCCTAGTTTTAACATTTAAGAGACTTTGTTTTCTTTATAGAAGGATCTGTGACTCTCAAATTTCTTTTCTTCACATGTAGACTAAACCTATTCTTACTCCATCAAAAAGTGTTGTATAAATTAATGTAAAACTGTAGATAAGGCCTGTGCCCTAAATTAATATTTCTTTAAATTTCTAAAGCAGAGAGTGACTGAGTATAAGAATAGATTTTCCCCCAACACTTCCTACATTCATCCCAGTATTTTTGTTTAAAAAATTTCTCAGTTTAAGATTTTGACCATGGCAGTATTACAGTATTAAACATCTAACCAAATTTCACTAGTGTACACCCACTTCTTAGTAATCAAGAACCTTTGGCAGTAGATGGAGGGACAGAAATAAGCATTCCAGCCTACAGGTTTATAGTAGAAACCGCCCAGATAAAATGGCCAATGTAATAGACACACATGCTGGGCAAAATACAAAATAGGGTTTCCTCTAAGAAGGGGTGTTGAGGTCTTATCTCAGCTGCAGTCTTAGCAATAAGAATCTCCAAAGTACACAGAGGTTCTGGGTAATATCAACTTTCTCACCACGAGTGAAGACATATATAACAAGCATTTGGAAAAAAGAATGAAACATAAATTCCAAAAAAGTTATGAAAGAAGAAAAAAAAAAAGACCTTGAGGAAAGGAGGGAAAAATGAACCAAGGCTAATAGAGTGCAAAGAAAAAGTTTCAGAAAACAGGGAAAACCAGCAATTTTAAACATATGGTCTCCCAAGAGGAATAAGAAGAAGGGAGTAGGAGGTAATATCTGAGTTAATACCTAGGCAATGTGATGCTACCTTGGCCGTGAAAGGTAGACAGAAGAGGTCCTTAGTACCCAACGATAACTGATATTGGAACCTATTTAAAACAGGTCCAAATATTTCAGGGTAAATGGTTAAAAAAATAAAAGGCTGAATGTAACTTAATCTGAAATATGAAACTAAAACTTAGGAAAATTAGTTCATTAAAAGATAGTTACTGATTCCGCTTACAAGCTTTAATTTTATTTCTTGGCATACCTTTTCTGATTATACAGTGGTATAACACTCTCTAGCTTTGAAATTTACAGCATGAGTGCAGAATATAGCTCATTTTTCTTCTGAAGATGTCAATGATTTTCTCAAATTTCTCTTCTCTTTATTGCTACTCAAATTATTCTTCTTTTAAATGCCTGAATCACTATCCTTTTTTTCCCCATCATTAATTCTGTTACATACCCATCTGTCAACAATTTTGCAAGTGACTAAAGCCATTCTGTACCTTCAGAGACTTCAGGAAGTTTCACATCTCTTGCAAGGCTTACAATTTCATTTTGTATTTGCACTGTATTAGCAAGAGAATAACAGAGTAAGGTGTTGCTGTCATGGATGGAAAGGATAACAGCTAGAGTTAATTAGGAAGAATTAGTGAGGAGAACTAACTTTAGAAGTGCTCAATTCACTAGTGAATACTTTCTTGTTTGGCAATCTTTGCTTCTCCATCTACCCCTTAGATTAATGAGCATTTGGATACTGAACATCTCTTGTGATACTACTGCAAGTGGTTCTTAGGATTAAAGTTAGCATATATGTGGAATATATAGAAGGACATATGTAACCTGGTGGCTCTAGTAAGGAATCCACCCGCCAATGCAGGAGATGGGGGTTCGATTCCTGGGTCAAGAAGATCCCCTGCAGAAGGAAATGGCAACCTGTGCAATATTCTTGCCTAGGAAATCCCATGGACAGAGGAGACTGGCAGGCTACAGTCTATGGGGTCGCAAAGACTTGGACATGACTTAGTGACTAAACGACAACAACAACAAACAATAACAAAAACATCAAACACAGTGCCTGAGCAAACATAAATTAAAGTTGATCAATCAATGTTTGTTAAACCTGAAAGGCAGAAAATGGAGGAAAAGGTATCATTAATGAAAAGGGAACAAAAAGTAAAAAAGAAATAACAAGCCCAATGATGACTTATTTTTGGCTTATAAGCAAATCAGGAGATGGGATAAACAAAAGTAACTATTATTGAAAACAGTATACTGGGGATTCAAAGATGAGAGGGAAAAGTCAAAATGATTACAGTGGGGAAAAAGGAAAGTTGAAGGGACTGGAGTCAGAGATGGATTTAAGAACATAAGTTCCTAAAAGGCAAAAATGAGGAGAAAGCATATCAAGTTTAGGGAACAAGACGATTTTTGTTAGGAAGCAGTGACAAATAAGCCTGGAAGGTTGGTGATACTTAACTAAACCAAAATATGGTGAGGTCCAGTTCTGCAAGGGCTGAGAACACCAAGGCTGATGAGTTCATACTAGATTTAATATACAATCTGGGGGAAGCAGGGAGCAAACAGAGAAGGGTAGGATTATGAGCAAAATAAGATTTTAAGCCTAGAAAGCTGGGAGAAGGGTGATACTTTTAAGGACTTAGGATTTGGGAGATGTGGGAAGGCAACGCTAAGAGGAGGAATTTAACTTGGGATACACTGAAAATAAGGTATTAGGCAGGAGGCTAAAAGATTCATCTATTCAAATAGATGAATTTTTAAGGTGTTTGGAAAATGCTTATGAGGGAAAACAATGGAATCAGCTTACTCAGATGAAAGGTTCTAAAATCAGACTCTAAATTTTTTAAAGTTTTTTTTCTTCCAAAATTACTCTTGAAGTGTTCTTACAAAGGCAGCCATGGAGATAGGCAGTCTCACAGAAAATCCACGCTGGCAGTTATTCCTCCTGTACTGGAAAGGGCCACTAATTTCTCAGTTATACCCCAGATGAAGCCTTTGGCTCGAATTTAGAACAGTAGTAAATGAAAAATATAAATACTTATGTAAATACTAGAACATCGTTCAGTTCAAGGAAATGTTCAGAAGGCATGTGAAAGCTAAAACTGACTAAAGGAATGCTGGATTCACAGTTCCCAGCTTGTAACTACTCACTCTGGGTCATACACTCAATAAATGGAGTTCAGGCAGAACTGCCAGCACTGCTGCACTTGCTGTTACTAAACATATTCTCTCTTTTTTATTTGGTTGAATTTATGTCATCTAAATGTATATATGATATGACTTTAATACAGCAAAGTGATGAGGTTGTATCAGATTTCCAAAACAGAAGAGAAATGCATCCTGAGGATAAAAACTTGGAGAATGTCTTTATTTACATAGAGTAAGAAAAATTATAGCTGAGAAGGGAAAATAATAGTTATAAACATAAAAGTTAAAGTAAGAAGGAGGTCATCATTATGTGAAAGGCTCAGAAATAGGCAAGGGAAATGAGTTAGAGCTGTGGAATTTGGTCATTAAGATCAATGTTAACGTTTAAGAAGATGCTTCAGTGGAAAAATGCAGAGGAGGACTTGAAACTGTATGGAATTAAACAGTCTATGTGCTACAAAATGGAAACAGTGGGAGAGAGGAAAGGCTGTAGGAGTAGGAGGGTCAACATTTTAAAAACATAGAGGATTCTTTTAAGTTACTGATTTTTATATTTCAGAGCTAAGAAAGTTTGGTAGAGATGTGCTTAACTTAAGGAAAGGACAACAAGACTATATCCAGGAATCTAAAATCCTATGGTAGTTATAGCTAGCTATGAGGTACCTGAAACTGAAAACATTCTTTTTCTTAAAAATCATAGAACAGCAATGTAAAACAATCCAGTATATAATATCAACAATAATGTAAAAGACCCCAAAGAGCCGTCTAGAACAATCTACAGCATCCTTGGCGAGTTCAGCATCTTTACTGCATCCTTTCCCTGGCTAAATTTCTTCACATCTTTCCCATTTTTGTCAGTAGTAGTTTCATACTACCTCTGACTTGGAAGAGTTAAAAAAGGTTACCAGGCTACCCAACATTGAAAATTCAACCCAACATCCATAGAGAAAGGATCTCACACACCTATGCAAGAAAATATCCATAGATTTGGAAACTTCTAGCTTCAAAAAGCACCCCTTTCTCAGATTCTTCTTTCTGGGTTCATGGATCTCCTTGCCCCTTACCTAAACTTCACCCAAAACAAATCAAAGCACAATCAAACATACCACCACTCCTTGTAACACCCTCATATACTTTCAAGGAGAAACATAAACATCTACTTTGCAAATGTTCTCTAGGTTTATCACTTGCTCTCCATTCCTACAACTAATACCTGATACTACCCAATACCTCTTTACCACTTATTTTATCTCTCACATACCTAGTATTTCAGCAGCTCTAAAGTTGCTGATTTATCTTATGTAACATGGCCAGGATAACTTTCCTAAAACACAAATTTCTCATTACATCCTTCCTAAATTGAAAAAACTGTATGATCTCTTCATTTGCCTTAATTTAAAAGGCAAACTTCTCTTCTTACTTTCACAAAAGCTTTTCCTAGCTCTCACAGTGGTCTTGCCCACTGGTTTATAAAACAGAGAAGTCCCTGTTAAACTCAACCTTATCAACACCTCTCATACATCCTGTGCATTCATCCTTTGTAGCTAAGTGTACCTTCCCAAGTAGACAACATGCTTCCTCAGAAAACAGTGTAACAGTATAACTTCCACTGAACTCTCAGTAGTGATTAGCACAATAATGAGCACATAATACACGCTCAGGGAATATCCAGTGTTTTTAATTTTCCCCTCTGGATTTATATTTGAATGCACTGCTCAACATCAAACCACTGTTCACATTATTCCTTCCACCTGCCCTTTTAGTGTATGCAAAAATCCTACTCACCCTTCAGCTGAAACGTCCCCCCCCTCTAGGAAACTTCAGCTGAAAGCTCCTGCTTTAGGAAGTGCTCTCTGATTACCCTACCTGAACAACAGCCACTTCTTTTATTAATATCTTCACTTATAAATCTATAAGTTTAATCAGTTTGTCTTCTAACATCTAGACTATAAATTCTTTTTTAAAAAGAAAACGGAAAAATCTGCCCTTCCTCTTTCTAAGGTGTTGCCTCTGTCCCCCCACACAGTGCCTAATGCAGTGCCTCATAAAAACAAGAGGTCGACAAATGCTTAGTAAGTGAATTAACTCTCTTCACCACTTTCTCCCTAAATGAAAATAACAAATACAACCAAATGAATAAGTAAAGCATCTTAGTAACTGCTTAGTTCCAGTTGAGTTACATCATTTAGTAGCTTGTTTTTTAAAAGGTTAATATAATTCTTTTAGTAGGTATTAGGGAGAACTTTTCTAGGATAGGTATCAGCTAACCTAAAGGTAAGAGGATAGGGTACATGATTTTTCAAGGTTTTTACTATAACTGTTAATCTAGTGTTTTGAAATATATCTATTCAGGTTGTTCTCCCCTATAAAGCAACAGGAACAATATGATACATACAAATATATCCTGGGCATTTTCTAGATGATAAAACATATATACATTTTTCAAGTGCATGTGAGTTCAAAATCAACCTCAAAGTAATATACAAACTTCAATGTATGAACTGCAGTGCATTAAGGTTTTGGTCATTTTGATCATTATTTTCACAACAAACCAAGAGATGTAATAAATGGTAACTTCTAACCAATAACTACATTTATATGTGGAAATCTAACATACACTTTTACTATTATATGAAAACTTCCAAAAGAGGCAGCATCGAATTAATCTAGGACTCCAACTGGACTCTAAGAATCTAAAACACAGCCAGAGGATCACTATTTACTATGATGTGTGATCTTGATCAAGTCAGTTATTCTCTCTGAGGCCCAGCTCCCTCATGCAAAATAATAGTATTTACTTCATCTACTTCTTGGACTTAAGTGAGCATCAAGAGGCAGCATACAGGAAAGTTATAAATGCTATTATACCTTCACATCTTACTTTATATAATGCTAATGAATGAGACTATTCTGCAATTTTCTGAAAAATTTGAGATTATAATTTTATTTCCTTGAAAATCTGGTAGACTTTTTCTATAAAGTTGTCTTGGCCTGCTGTTTTCTTATGAGAAAAATGTTCACTGTTTCTTCAATTATTTAATGGTTACACATTATTCAGTTTTCGTTCTTTTTAAGACAATTTTGGTAAACCATATATTCCTAGAAATTTCTAAGTTTTGTGTAAATTTTCAAACTTATTGGCATAAAGTTCTTCAAGCTATTCCAATAAGGTTTTCAATATCTGCTATATTCTTTAATTTTTAAGTTATAAACTCACAGTAATATACAAACATTTTAAGTTTTTTGCTTTTATGCATTTTATAACGGTTGGATGCCATCACTGATTCAATGGCCATGATATTGAGCAAACTCAGGGAGATAGTGAAGGACAGGGAAGCCTGGCATGCTGCAGTTCACGGGGTCGAAAAGAGCTGGACACAACTTAATGACTGAACAACAACAATGTATAATTAATTAAATATTAAGTTAATTTCAATACAAAATTTAAAATAAATTTTTTGATGTAATAATTTAACATAAAATAAAGCAGTACTCTTTGTATTACACTATCTTTATTTAAATATCACTAGACTGTCAGTTTACCTCTGGGTTTGCAATGAGATATTAGTCTACATATATTTCATTCTTTTCCACTGCCTAACCTTCTTGAAAGAGACTATTCAAAACAAACAAAAACAACTTCCTTCATAATGATTCTTCCTTCCTAGAAGATTCTAGAGAGTAAGATGGCATATGGAATACTACTTTTCTGCCCACCACCCCCCGCCACCCTGCCTATACATAATTCATTTGTAGATATTTCAATCTGCTATCTGGAGGGAAAAAAATCCCATTAGGACCAAATAGGATTATTTGATTATTACAGACATAGAAAAGTAAGGCCAGGATAATAAGCGTAACATAGGAATCTTAAAAAAAAGAGAAAGAGAAAAGATTTTATAATAGAAGCTTCCATAAAAAGGTACGATTGAACAATAAGCATTTAAGTACACCCTTAGACATCACCAATATAAAAAAACATATTAAGTTTTAGCAGAAGTACAAGTAAGACTTGAGAAAATGGCCAATCTATATCTCGTATTTGGATTTCATATTTTCCAGGATATAAGTCCCACACTAAAATCCTAACTGGAAATCTGAGCCAATAAACAAATATCCAAAACTAAAGTAAAATTTTGTTAAAACTGTTAAAATGAGCTCCTTGTGATCTTTTTCTTCCTGTTACCAATTTACACAGGTAGGAAACAGCTTTGAACAAACATTGCTATAGACCTTCATCAATGACCTTCCAGTTGCGCATGCACTGGGCCTACTACTATAGCTACTTTCTTTACTTGATAGCAAGTGCTAAAGACAGTAATGGAATGATTTAACTCAAATCATTAGCCAAGTCTCAAGAGACTACCTATCTAAATAATAAAAGAGACATAATAAATTATCTATATAATAAAACCTTCAGGGTGCACATGTAACCAAAATATAGTAGTTGAATACTGAATAACTCAAAGAACAAGGTTTCACCATACTTAGTCACGTATACTCTTCAATAACATACCTCAGGAGGCTTGAATTCTTCAATTCCACCTTCCATTTTCTGTTTAAGTGCACTGTTTACTTGCTTAGCATTCTGAACCTTCAACAAAATAACCAAAATTATGAATCAGATCATGTACTTAGGTGAACTTTTGAGTATTAATAAGTGAAAAGGATATATATTAAAAACCCTGTTACCCCAGGGGATAGAACACTATGGCACTTAGGGTGGAATATACCACTCATTCAAGTAGCATACACATCAACTATATACATACCTAACAGACTAACTGGCACAGTTCATAAGAAATCATTTAATTCTCACAACTGCTCTGTGAAGTAAGTACCATCAGTTCTGTTATAACCTGACATATGCATTCTCAAAAGCCACAGTACTATGCAAACTGCACAGTAAAACCACAGGGCTTATGGGGAAAAGAACTTGAGACACAGCACTAAAAAACTTCATCAATGACACAAAGCACAGTTCTAAACAGGAAAGAAATTCACAAGTGATACAATAAAGACAATGCTTTACCTTAAAAGGTTGCTTATATAAGTGGTGTCAAAAGAAATACAACTTGTGAATTGTTGGGAAGAGGTAGAACGGTTATTTGAAATCAGATGAAGTTTTAACACCAGATGTGGGTGTTTATGGCAAATAACACAATATATGCCCACAGAGTTCAAATGTGAACAGTGTGGGCATATACTCAGCTAGGTATAGTTAGTTTTTCACTAACAAAAATCACATGTGAGCAAATGCAAAAAATCACATTATGTTCAAATTGTCCCCATGTATATCAATGATGTTGGAACAGATTCATGCTTTCAAAACAAGCACAGAGCAAAACTGGACTTTGATTTAAACAGCAGAAATGAAGGAGTGGTGGTGGTACACAAGACGGGTCAAAGAAATAACTTGGAAACAAAATTAAGACATCTTTGTAAACAACTGATTGTGGAGAATTAGGGAGAAGGAGGAATCAAGGATAATTCTTTCATCACTGGCTTGAGTAACTGAGTATACATGGTGTTATTCAACCAGACAGGGAGTGCAAAAAGGGGACCAGATTACTCGTGGACATGGAAATCAGTCTGGACACTGCTTATGAGATGTTTGGGATAATAAATGGTAGAATTTGTAAATCTAAGAATGCAAATCTTCACTATGTTACACATCAAATGAATATCCAAGAAAGGAACTTAAAGTTTTTAAAAAGTTCTTTCACAAGAATCAACAAAGGACTTTCCTGGTGGTCCAGTGGCTAAGAATCCAGAGGACACAGGTTCAATTCCTGGTCCAGGAAGAGTCCATGTGCCATAGAGCAACTAAGCCTGTGAGTCACAACTATTGAAGCCTGTGCTTGGCAAGGAGAGAAACCACTACAGTAAGAAGTCTGTGCACCAGAATGAACCGTAACCCCTGCTCACAGCAACCAGAGAAAGCCTTCATGCAGCCCGGAGACTCAGCACAGCCAAAATCAATAAAAAGAGCTTATAAGTGAAGTAATAGTGGAGTAGTAATACTGATAACTAACTATGATTACAGGTGGCTAAGAACATTTTATTCATTATTTTAAAAAATTCTGAGCACTTTAAAAATATCACAGGCAAAGTGTTTTAGAAATTCTCTAAAGAGAAGGGGTACTGTGGGTTGGAAGATGGGAGTCTTACACACTTTTATGGTTTGACTAAAGGCAAAGCATTCAATCAAATACATACTATATATACTTGAGAATCCAGCATCAAAAGTCAAAAGAAAGGAATTCTAAGGAGGAGGAGGTGGCTTTCAAAAGAGATAAGACCCAAGAAGAGAGTACTCGACTAGGCAACTTGTTCACAAACAATCTTAAGACAGCTTATTCAGTGGCAGAACTGGGATGGGATGTGGGACAGAAACTAGATTGGGAAGCCTCTGAAAATAAGTGGTAAGAAAGCAGAGGAAGCCAATGTGGTAGATTTTGATATTTATTCTGGAAGTTTGCTGGAGAAGAAAACAGAAATATAAAAGCAGTTTGGGTAAGTAACCAGGGTCAAGGGGTAGAGAAATCTGAATGTTTAGGATAGAGAAAAACCATCTCAGTCCCATACTACCCTGTTGCAAAGTTCTTAGATTATATGGAAGTGGTATAATATTAACTCTAATGGTACATACTGTGATATCTAAATAAGGATGACACTATAAGCTAAGGATGCATGGTATAATCCCTAAAGCAACTACAAAAAAAAAAAAAGAAGAAGAAGAAGAAGACATATAGCTGAAAAATATAAATATGACCATGTTACGCTTCTTTTAAATCCTTCAGTGGTTTCCTCACTCATGATAAATTTTAAATTTAACATGCCCTTCCTATAAATTTCTGTCTAGCTCTGCAAATAACCTGCTAAAAGCAAGTAGGAATTAATAAAGCATTTTAAAATGAGTGATGATTACACTAGTATTTTAAAAGAATAACATTGATAAAATGTGTAACAAGGGACTGAGAAGAGGTAGACAGCAAGGAGAATGAACATGACAGCTACAGTCAGAAAAGAGGTGGTAAGTGCCATAACAAGGGTAGTAGGGATGAGATTAAAAAGCTGGGGATTGATTTAAAGGAAATTTCAGAGATAAAATAATCTACTGCTTGAGTTTGTGTGTGCTGAGAGAGTAATATAGGCAAGGGATGAGTAAAAGATAAATTCAGATGTTTCAACAAACAAGGGACAGAAAAAAAAAAATCTTTTGGGGGTTAGATGAGATGTCTACCAGGTAGTTGGAAATATGGAGCTTTGGAGAAAAGCCACAGCTTAGGAAGTAAACTCAGAAGTCACTAGCAAGGTTGGTTAATTTATACCAAGAAGTTCAGACTTAAAACAACAAAAGAAATAAATAAAGGAAAAGCCAGAGAAAGACTGAAGACCTAATAACAACCATTCATGAGTACGTATTATGCAAGGCACTAATGTTTTAAGCATTTACCCTATAATACCCTTGTTTAATTCCTCCCAACCAAAATACTATTATCCTCATTTTAAGACACTGAAGTTGAGAGAAGTTAAACAGCTCCCCTAGGGTTGTGCAGGAAGTAGACAGTGTATCTAGGTTTGGAACTTAGGATCACTGACTCTAAAACCTTATCCACTACCTGATTATGCTAATGAAACTTTTAAATAATACTGCTGTTAATGATGACAATCCATATGTATTATTTCAAATAATTCTCAACAATCTGAAAGAGAAGTAAGATTATTATCTCCAATTTTATAAATAAAAAATGGAAGCTTCAGTTCAGTTCAGTTGCTCAGTCGTGTCCGACTCTTTGCGACCCCATGAACCACAGCATGCCAGGCCTCCCTGTCCATCACCAACTCCCAGAGTCCATCCAAACCCATGTCATCGAGTCGGTGATGCCATCCAACCATCTCATCCTGTCGTCCCCTTCTCCTCCTGCCCCCAATCCCTCCCAGCATCAGGGTCTTTTCCAATGAGTCAGCTCTTCGCATCAGGTGGCCAAAGTATTGGAGTTTCAGCTTCACCATCAGCCCTTCCAGTGAACACCCAACACTGATCTCCTTTCAGATGGACTGGGTAGATCTCCTTGCAGTCCAAGGGACTCTCAAGAGTCTTCTCAAACACCACAGTTCAAAAGCATCAATTCTTCGGTGCTCAGCTTTCTTCACAGTCCAACTCTCACATCCATACATGACTACTTGAAAAACCATAGCCTTGACTAGACGGACCTTTGTTGGCAAAGTAATGTCTCTGCTTTTTAATATGCTATCTAGGTTGGTCATAAATTTCCTTCTAGGGAGTAAGCGTCTTTTAATTTCATGGCTGCATTCACCATCTGCAGTGATTTTGGAACCCAAAAAAATAAAGTCAGCCACTGTTTCCCCATCTATTTGCCAGGAAGTGATGGGACCAGATGCCATGATCTTAGTTTTCTGAATGTTGAGCTTTAAGCCAGCTTTTTCACTCTCCTCTCTCACTTTCATCAAGAGGCTCTTTAGTTCTTCTTCACTTTCTGCCATTAAGGGCGGTGTCATCTGCATATCCTATTATTTCCCAACATCACAGAGCTAACAGGTAGCAATGCTGGGATTCAAATCTAAAATACTCAGTGGCACCTTATAATTTGAAAACAAGGTAAATAAGAAAGATAAAACTTATGTAACTGAGTGGTTGAGATAATCTGTAAAAAAACTGAGTTTACAGGGATAAAGTAAATAAGCAAAATGAACAGAATCATCAAAAATAATGATTTTTATAATACCTGACGTTTTAAAGAGATCAACTCCATGTCCAGTTGCCTCAGGATGGTGTTGGCAGCATTGGGGCTACAGGAAACAGCTACCACATCTTCTTGGGTTAAATACATGCCCTTAGGTGGACGGCACTTAGAACGCTGAGAATGATGGCGGTGTTGTAAACTCTGATATTCTCTCCTCCCAAGTCCAATCTTGCTAGTTTGGACAGGCTGGTCAGTATTACCCTGGAAGAAAAAAGAATAATAGGTCATTTGGGTTTGCATACAGGTATAAGTTGAAAACAGTCTATTACTAATAGAAGTATCTGTTACATTAAGTGCACCTACTAAATACTTCTAGCCAATTATACTACATATGAGTCCAAACACACACACACACACAACAACTATCAATTAGGGGGAAATGAGCATACAACATAACATATGTTTCATTAATCCACTCAAAAAATGTTAGGTTTCTATGCCCAGAAGACTATGAACAATGAAAAAATAAGGTGGATTTTACATTATTTTAGTTTGCTTCACGATTTCAAGATGGGATATATTTTCTCTCAGCAATTAAGGGGGAGCAGGGGTAAGCTACAACTTACTAAGTGCGAAGTTTTAAAGAAAGTAAAAAAGGGCAAGTTAGGAATCATGACAATGGGTAGATCAGCCAACTGGTAAAAAAACAGATAACATTTTATTCTCACTTCGGAGTTGTTGAAAGAGAACTATGCCTCTAAAAATTAAAAAGAGCACAAGATTATTTTAATACTAACAACATTTCTAAACTCCAAGTCTATTTACCTGTGAATAAAATAACATTGAAATTTTCACTTTGGAAGAGGTTTAAAAAGCTCTAATAATGATTACCATGAACTCTTAAGTAGGGTTTCATTACTATATCTGAAATATTCTTAAAAAGTGTGATGTAAAAATACAATGTTATTCTGTGCTTCCAAGATAGGAATCCATTAGAAACTGTGTCCCATTAGGCTGAAGACAACATACTGAACAGATTTAATAATTCATTAGAAAAGGAACTCTGAGTAAAAGTCATAATATAATTATATAGTACCCAGTACTGTAATTCACTCTGTTCCTTAAAACTCAATTCAAAGCAACACATGACAGATTTGATGTTCAGGGAAAATCCTCCCAGTATAGCACTCCTAAAATTGCTAGATCAAGTATTTTTTAAAAATCTTTTAAAATTCATTTCTAAGCTGGCAGAGAAGTACAGACCAGAAATGATGAGAAAGCAGGAATCTAGAGAGAGAAGCAAGGATGCAGGAGCTGACACTTGCTTAAAGGACAGTGGACAACAGGTGAAGAGCACAAGAATGAAAGCCAGGACTCTGGAAGGGGAGGGGCCTTCAACATCATGCAAAGTAGGAAAACTGACCCTGCCCTGCAAAGGGAGGATGATTTAAAGAAAGACAAGACCACTTCAACCTTGGCTGAAAGGAAAGCAAAGAAACCAAAAAGAGTCTTTCCTGAGAATCCCTAGCCACAGGCCTATATTCAGACAGGTTTGGAGACTAAATTTATATGAACTGTCTGGCCTGAAAAACCCCAAATCAAAAATTTACTTTAGAGTATCTCAGGTTGGAAGGGCTTTCAGTTAGCAGAAGTAAATGCAAGCTGTCTTTAGACGAATGCACTGTAAATGCAGGTCTTGAAAATTTTCAACAAACATGTTCCAAGGAAAATAAGCTCACAACTACAAACTGCCAAACAAGTCTCCCGAGGAAAACACTGCAGAAGGCAAACAACAGAACTATATCTGAAAAGATCACAAATGTTACAATTACTGGATAAAGAGAATACAATAAAGATGTTATACATGTACAAAGAAAGAAATAATTGAAAATATGGAATATTCTTATAAGAAATAAGTCCATCAAAACTGACCAAGCAGACAGGCAAAAAAACCAAATAGAACATCTGGAAATAAAAAATACTATAAATAAGATTAGAAATTCAATGGATGGGTTCCTTAGCAGACTAGACAGAGCTCAAAAGACAATTAGTGACTCTGAATGCACCTATGAGAAAAATGCCCAAAACATAGCATGGAAGTATGGAAAGACGTGGAATACATGAGTGGTTAAGAGACATGTGAAACATCCATTACATGTCTGAAAGAATTCTCAAAACAAAGAATAGAGAGAATGAAGGAGACTTTAGATTCAAAGACTCAACAAATGAGAATTTCACAGAACTTAAGATAGGATTTAGAAAGTACAAGGAAATCCAAAGTTTCAAAAAAAAGAAATCCAAAGCCATATACTTCAAAATGAAACTATGGAACACTAAAGACAAAGAAGAGATCATAAAAGTAGAAAAAGAGAAAAGTTAAATTACTTCCAAAGAAGGGTGTGGAGAAGAAAACCCTCTTGCACTGTTGGTAGGAATGTAAAATGACATGACATTATGGAGATGCCTTAAAAAACTAGGAACAGAACTACCATATGACCCAACAATCCCACTAATCGGCATATAACCTAAAAAAACCATAACTGAAAAGAGATGTTGCAGCACCATTGAAATTAGCTAGGAAGCAATCCAGATGTCCATTGACAGATGAACAGATAAAGAAGCTGTGGTACATACATACAATGGAATATTACTTGGCCATAAAAAGAAAACATTTGAGTCAGCCCTAATGAGGTAGATGAACCTAAAGCCTGTTTTACAGTCAAGTAAGTCAGAAAGAGAAAAACAAATATCGTACATTAACAATATACACATATATAGAATCCAGAAAGATGGTACTGATAAGCCTATTTGCAGAGCAGCAATGGAGACACAGACAAACAGAACAGACTTGTGCACACAGTGGGGAAAGAGAGAGTGAGATGAATTGAGAGTAGCATGGAAACACATAAATCACCATATGTAAAACAGCCAGCCAGAAGAAACTTGCTATATGATGCAAGAAGCTCAAACCAGGTGCTCTGTGACAACGTAGAGGGGTGGGATGCGGTAGGAGATGGGACGGAGATTCAAGGGGGAGGAGACATATTTATACCTATGGCTGATTCATGTTGATGTATGGCAGAAACCAACACAATATTGTAAATCAATCAAAAAATTTTTAAAAATTACCTCCAAAGGAATGATAATTAGCCTGACAGCAGACTTCTCTAAAGCAATGATAGAAATCAGAAAGCTGCAGAATAATATCTTCAAATAATATTGGTCAACCTAAGAGTCTAACCCCAGCAAAACTAAGGGTTTAAGAAATAGGCATTTTGGACATTCCAAAACTGACTGTGTTCCTAATCAATAGACTGTCATTAAATTAATCTGTAAAAGATACAGTTAGGAAAAAAGAAAAATTATTTTCAAAGAAAGTTCTAAGATTCAAGAATGAAAGGTAAGCAAAATTAATTTTAAGTATTAAAAATTGGGTAAATTTCTTGTTAGCTTAGTAAATCTAACATTGACTATATGTCTAATGTGATATATTAAAAAAATAAGATGTAACTAAAACTGGAAAAAAAATAGCACATAAAACAAGAAAGTAGTCGCTAAAGTCAAAGCATCTTAAAGGTCTTAAATTAACCAGAAACTCATTCAAAGCACCAAAATTAGATTTTAAAAGTTAAATATGCAGGATAAAATTTCCAGAGTATACAGTAAGAATAGAAATATAGAAACATTCCAAATTAGTAGAGAGTAAAATAAGAAAAAATCAAACGAGATGAATTCTTGATCCAAAAAGAAAGTAAGTCAAACAGAAGATAAAAATAAGAAATAACAAAAATACAAATATTAATCATGACCAGTATAAAAGGGCTAAACTCTCTAGATAAAAAATACCACATATCTGTTCCAAGTACTTAAAATACGAGGACACAGAAATGTTGAAAGTAAGGAATAATGATATACCGGTCAAACACAACAAAAAAAAGATGACAGAGCTATCAGTTCAGTTCAGTCACTCAGTCATGCCCAACTCTTTGCGACCCCATGGACTGTAGTAGGCCAGGCTTCCCTGTCCATCACCAACTACTCCTGGAGCTTGCTCAAACTCATGTCCATCGAGTTGGTGATGTCATCCAACCATCTCACCCTCTGTCGTCCCCTTCTCCTCCTGCCCCCAATCTTTCCCAGCATCAGGGTCTTTTCTAATGAGTAAGTTCTTCGCATCAGGTGGCCAAAGTATTGGAGCTTTAGCTTCAGCATTTGTCCTACCAATGGATACTCAAGGACTGATTTCCTTTAGGATTGACTAGTTTGATCTTGCAGTCCAAGGGACTCTCAAGAGTCTTCTCTAACACCACAGTTCAAAAGCATCAATTCTTTGGTGCTCAGCTTTCTTTATTGTCCAACTCTCACTTTCATACATGACTACTGGAAAAACCATAGCTTTGACTAAACAGACCTTTGTTGGCAAAGTAATGTCTCTGCTTTTTAATATGCTGTCTAAGTTGGTCACAACTAGTGACTAAACCACCACCTAGGTTGGTCATAGTTTTTCTTCCAAGGAGCAAGTGTCTTTTAATTTCACGGCTGCAGTCACTATCACCAATGATTCTGGAACCCAAGAAAATAAAGTCTGTCACTGTTTCCATTGTTTTCTCATCTATTTGCCATTAAGTGATGGGACCGGATGCCAAGATCTTCATTTTTCGAATGTTGAGTTTTAAGCCAGTTTTTCGCTCTCTTTCACTTTCATCAAGAGGCTCTTTAGTTCTTTGTCGCGTTCTGCCGTAAGGGTGGTGTCATCTGCATATCCGAGGTTATTGATATTTCTCCCGCCAATTTTGATTCCAGCTTGTGCTTCATCCAGCTCAGCATTTCGCATGATGTACTCTGCATATAAGTTAAATAAGCAGGGTGACAATATACAGCCTTGACATACTCCTTTACCAATTTGGAACCAGTCCATTGTTCCATGTCCGATTCTAACTGTTTCTTCTTGATCTGCATACAGATTTCTCAGGAGGCAGATAGAGCTATACCAGACAAATAATCTTCAAAAGCAGAAGACATCAAAAGAGGTGAAAGGATCATCATATATAGATAAAAGTTTCAAATTCAACAAAACAGTTTCTACACATCTAATAAATAATAGCTTCAAAATACAGTTATTTTTCAATAATCCATCAGATAAGCACATAAACACCAACAAAACCAATACCAGCAAGCAGTAACAGAATGTTGATTTCAATCATACTAACTGACAAGCTTAAATTAAGACACATTAAAAAAAAACCTATAATCAATAATTA